TTTTATGTTATTTTTCTTTACATGATCTAGCAGCTGCTGGATTGATTTCTTGTGGTCCTTTGCTATTTTTAAGAAATCTTTCTTTTCATGATCTTTAACCACAATCCTGTCTTGTGTCTGAAATTATATCTATATGCATCTGTTTCATGGATTCTATTTCTTTCCTGTGTTGGGTGTTCATAGTTACCATCATTTTCCTAAGCCCCATTTCAAAAAAATCTGCATCACATCAAGTCACCAAGCCGGTCTTTTACTGTGATCACCATCTCTGTAGTTACCTGAGAAACTGTTTCTGATTTGACTTTTTGTAGAGCTTCATTCATCTGCTTTGTTACTTCTGCTGTTCCACTTAAGAGAGTCCAGGTGGGTGTTTTTCAGATTGTCCTACCTTATTGTCCCATGGATTTGCCTTTGGTGAAGTAGAAGTTTGGCATTTAATCTTAAGAGTCTCCTCAGTTGTTTTGTTTTTAGAGTAATTCCTAGGTTGATGCTTATGAATTGCCTATGGCCAGTAGCTTTATTTTTTAGTACCAGGAATCGAACTCATGACCTTGAACTTGCCTGGCAGGCACTGCATCACTGTGCTATATCCCCAGTCCATGGCCAGTAGCTTTATTGCTAGTATTTAGAACCCTTAGGAAATGACTGCTTCTCAGAGGTATCTTCCAGGTTCAGGTGACATTTGAGTTTGGAGTCTGTTACAAGATTCTATTTGTTTAGGCTGAGGAGCTAGCTTGGTAGTCTAAGTGCCTGCCTGGAAAGTGCAAAGACCCAGGTTCGATCTCTAGTACCACATGCCATACCGGCCCCAGAACCCCATGTATGAAGTGCCAGCGACCGTGGTGGCACACACCTGTAATCCCAGTGCTGGGGAGGCTAAGACAGGAGGATCACTAGGAGTCTGAGCTGCATAGTGAGACCTTGTACCAAATAAACAAATAAAATTATTTTTTAAAAAAGATTCTATTTGTTCATATTATTGGCTTATAGTATTTTTATGACCTTTACACAACCTCAGTCTTGGTATGCCAGGAAGAAAGACTGATTAGAATAATTACATCACCTTGGCTACAGTGATACAGTCAACAATAACAAAAGCATCACACACAGCCTAGAAATGATAAACTGTGGTAGCTATTAATTTGCCACCTTTAACCATATGACCTAAATTAGTGGTTATATAAAATATGTGAAATGAATCAGAAACTTAGATGTAGTAAATAAGCCCTCAATATGGCAATTTTACTCACTGGGGAGCAAATTTAAAAGGGTTTAAGGAGAGAAAATACAGAAATAGAAGAGGAAGAGATTAGATGCAAAGCTGGAGGACAAAGGAAGATCATGCAAACTTTAGGAAACATGAAGACATGAGGGAGAGAAGGAAGAAATAAAAACAAGAAAGGAATAACAACAAAAAGGCCCCTAAAAGCTCTGTTCATATTCATATAAAAATAACCAATCAATCAAAAAAAAGAACAAAAACTGTCCACTTCAAGTCATGTCTGTTGTCACTGGCAGAAAACATGGGAAGAGTTCAGGTTTGAGTTGATTAATCCCAGCAAGTCAGCTGTAGCTTTATGGGGTGGAGGGTAGTAGATAATCCCAGTGAGCCTGTACCTTTAGATCCACTTAAATTCAGGTTGGTTTCTGGCTGAGTGGCTAGAACCAAATTTGTCTAGCCTACAGCAGCTCATGTGCCTCTTGCTGGCTTGAACTAGATTCCCTGACCTGCTAATTTGGAGTGGGCTCCATGACCCTGTTCCTGGGAGCCACTAGATGAAGCCAGCCTACAGATGTTCTGAGTTCAGTTGGTCCCTCTCCAAGATGGCTACCAGCGTACTGCCATCTCCTGGGGAATGTCTGAAGCCTAACAACTCACCAACCACTGAAGTCTTCTGTATGCACTGCCCTTTTCCACTGGTACATTTCTCTGTGGGGGCCTGTGAGGTAGCCAGTACCACAGTGCTTCTTCAGTTTAGAGTTGCTCCTCCCATGCCATGAGTTCAGGCTCAGGGAGAAAGCATTGCCTGCCACCTCCTTCATCTTTGTTGAAGTCTCTCTTCACTATGAGCTCAGTTCTCACTTCAGATCCTTCCTGAGTTCCAGGGACTCATTTCCCTCCTCTTCCTCATGTTGCTGTATTCTAGTGTCTGAACACCAAATCTCGGAAAGCGTCTTTCTTTGCAGCTCACCACTCTGCCATTTTCCAAGAAGTTCTCATCTTTATGTATTGTATGCTCAAAAGTGCTTTGACTTCTTAAATTGTGTAGAAAACAAAATGTAGAGTAACACAATGCTTTCAGTTAACATTGTTAATATATTAATATCTCAAATCATACAGCAAACAGGAAGTGCAATTACAAACTACACTTACAATGATACCAGAGTTTGTAATTGCTCATGTACTTACATTGACTGAGCAGTTTATTTTTTCAACAAATGTCCAGTGTCTTCTCATTTCTTTCTTTCCTTTTTTGCAGAACCGGGGATTGAACTCAGGCCCTTGCGCTTTCCAGGCAAGCACTTATTCTACTGAGCCATCTCCCCCGCCCCTTCTCGTTTCACTATAGAGAACTCCTTTAGCATTTCTTTTAAGACAGCTCTACTGGTAATGAACTTTTCAGTTTTTTTTTTTTTTAGAGAATGTCTTAACTTTTTGTTGTTGAGACAGATTCTTGTTACGTGGTTAGGCTGGTCTTGAATTTGTGATCCTCTGGCTCATCTTCCTGAGTGTTAAGAGTTATAGACATGTACCAACCACCACAACTGTCTTTTCTCTCACTTTTGAAGGGCAGTTTTGCTAGGTATAGGATTCTTGGTTCAGGGTTATTTTTCTCTTAACACTTTATCAGCCCACTGCCTTTTGGTCTCCAATTTCTGATGAGAAATCTGATAATCTCTGTATCTTCTTATATATGACAAATTGCTGCCTTCATGATTCTCTTCTGGCTTTCAAACGTTTGATTATATCTATAAGAGTTTATCTTACTTGAACTGTTTTTTAAACCAGGAATCAAACTAGGGTCTCACACTTGCCAGGTAGGCACTATGCTACAACTATATCCCCTGCCCTTGAAGTTTCTTAACATTTTGTATGTTTATATTCAAGTCTTTCATGCAGCTATTGTTTCTTCAAACATTTTCTCTGCACTTTCCCCAAATGTGTGTATGCTGGGCTGTCTTGATGGTCTCCCACAGGTCCTCTTGGTTTTACTCACTTTTCTACTATTTTCTGTCCCTCAGATTCAATAATTTCTGTTGCCCCATCTTTAAGTTTGCTAATTCTTTTTTCTCCCTGCTCAAATCTACCTCTGGATCCCTCTAATCAGTTTCCCATTTTAGTCAGTGTACTTTGCAGCTCCAGAATTTATTAAAGATCAGACAACCACTTAGAAACTTTAAAATCATCCCACTTAAACACAAGTTACTCAGTAAGAAGTAAAAATATAAAAAAGTTTTGAAATTTTGCATGTAATTATCTTTTAAAATAATTTTCTATTACTGAATTGAATACCCTACTGTGGGATGAATGCTGGTGGGGTAATCTGGAGCCCTACCAGACAGGGCTCTGTGTGCCCACTCAGAACGCATGCCATAGGTCTGCCACCAGTGCCCTAATCCTGTAAGACCCAAAATTTATGTAAAATGATCTCAGATGAAAGGATATGTTCTTTCCTCCTCTAACTATACACTGCAGGTATTACGTGCATGGTGTTCTGAAGTGCTTACTGGTCCTCTGCGAGACCTGCCTGGAGGGCCACGGCTGGCCTCTAATAATATCTAAGGAGATACAATGCAAGTTTTTCTCTCTGTGTGCTGTTTTTTAAGTTTATGCTGATCACTCCAGCAGAACTGCTTCTGAAATACAACAGTTGTGTTCACTCTCTGAAAGTAAATATAACTAAACATAGTTGTAAAAAAATCTTAGGGCCAACAAAATAGCTCGGTGGATTAAGCACCTGCTTAAGCAAGTACAGGGACCGGGGTTCGATCCCTGGCATCACAGCTGCACAGGACCCACCCCAGGGCATACTGAGCCAGCCACTGAGACCAGGCATGGTGGTGCATGCCTATAATCCTAGTGCTGGGCAGGCTGAAAACAGGAGGATCACTAAAAATCTGAGCTGTGTAGTGAGAACCTGTAGCAAACACATTAAGAAAAATAAATAAATAAAAATAAATAAAATTTTAAAAAAAGAGAAAGATCAGTAAAAAAGCAAAACAAAAACTTGAGCATAAGAACTGACAAATTTGAGCAGAATACATCTAGTAGAAATAAAAATGATCATGAGAAATACATGAAAACACATTCAGCACCTAACTTTTTTTTTTTTTTCAGAAGCAGGGATTGAACTCAGGTCCTTGCACTTGCCAGGGAAGTGCTTATTGTACTGAGCCATCTCCCCAGGCCTTCAGCACCTAACTTTAATCCTGAACAAAAGCCCATTGCTAGCACTACTGAAGGTGACCTCTTCCACACTGCCATACTGGCCTGAGGACAGGGGGAACCCAAAACGCTTGGCACAGACTGACCCCTTCATACAGATGTAAGAACAGAGCCCATGGTGGTTGTTGTAACTGGGAGGTGAAAAAAATGCATCTAAGAGGATGTTCACCAGACACTGCTGAAACACTGGCATACAGCAAGAGCTGTGGCACACCCAGAGGATGGAGTCATTAAAACATGTAAAGAATATATGTAACAGACTTAAAAGTTGGCAATTTATTGAGTACAAGAGCAGATTATAAAATATGTATATGATCCTACTTTTGTAAAAAAAAGTTTTTAAAAGGAAAAAGTAAACCCCTGAGAATATTTGTCAATATTAATGCTGTTATTAGTCAGAAATAAGATTATAGATTTTTTGCTTACTTCCTTAAACTTTAATGTGCTTTCTAGATGTTATGCTATAAACATAACTTCTTTTATAGTCTGAAAGAAATAAGTAAAAGGCATTATTTGGAGTAATATTTAAAACCTTTCACACATTTCAAAATACAGGATTACAAATAGTCAATAACTTTTATTAACATAAGATATAAAATATTTTAGTGTGATATACATAATTCCCAGAGAATAATTTCAATACAATTTAATGTACTTCCTAAAATCTTAATTTACCAGATAGCATCTTAACTTCCACTGACCCTTCAATACAAAAAGTTTACAATTTTTATTTGTTAAAAAAACTACAACATGAAGGTTGAGGTTAGGTAGAAGACTGGGGTTAGGTAGTTCTGTTCTCTTCTCAGCCACTCTAAAGAATGTCCATTAGTCCCATTAGTCCATTGCGAAAATCTCTGTATGCCAAACAATATGTTACATGGGTTCTGTACATAATTACAACAGGATTATTAGAATTCCAGCCTGTTCAACATATTACACCATAGTCAAATCCATGGATAGGGAGGGCTACTGCACACAGTGCTATCTGTAGCCAAATGAGGATAAGACAGGAGTTGGCCCACGTGGACAGACCTGCTGTGAACTAACGACAGCTATGATAGGCACTGATCCAGACTAATTCCAGAAAAACCTGCATGTTTTCTGTGAAGCATGCATGATTTATAAACTTTGCCACTGCCAAAGCCCCAAACGCCCAACAACTTCATAACATACTCTCAATTAGATATATAAAAATAATTGTTTTAGATTCATGCTTGACTTCAAGTTCTCAGAAGTATCCAAAGGACTTTACATTCTCTTCAATTTCACTTCTGTATTAATAGTAGGTAACTCAGTTTAGTCATGTTTGAATAAAATAACTGAAAATAACTTGCCAAATTGTATAGGCACACAACCCAAAATGCACAAGCCGTTTTGAAATTATCTCCACCATTAACACAGGACACAGGCCCTCTGCTGCTGCCCCCACAACTGTATGGAATGCAAGGATGGCATGGTGGTGGGGAAACCCTAGATCACCACCAGTGCTTCCACACCTGCTGACTTGGAACAAAAATCACTCAGTATACTTTCATGAGAAGAATGCTGTAATGTTATGAGAAGTATCAATTTGACTAAAGAGCAGAAGTAGAGTGATTTAAAACTAAATGCTGGTTTATCTTTTTGAAACAAATCTTCTAAGTTGACGGTTCCAAATGGTACTTACTGAGTGTTTCCAACAAAATATGAGACAACTGGCACATCTCTCTGTATAATAGAACTGGCTCAGCGGTGGCACGGTGCTGGGCCACACTGTGGGCCTGGGGGTGGAGGGCGGGGCTCCATTTCCTGGTCTCGCTGAGCTTGGCTCTGCCCGCACAACAGAGGCGGTGCTGCAGGCTGTGTTGCAGGCTGTTACAGCCTGTCTAGAATAAATTCCACATAGAAACCTGCCATTTGAGGTGGGAATAAATAACTGAATTTTAGAAACCAGAAACTTCATTTTAGCTTTAAAAAGTGCTAACTTGCAGTATAGCAGAGAACAACTGGTATCTGTGACCCCTCAAGAAGCCACGCTGGGTCTTTCCTCTTCTTTCCAGTCACTTCATCAATTAAAAAGCTGGCTTCCAGGGCTTCCATTGCTCAGTGGTAGGCGCTTGCCTCACATGCACTAGGCTCTGGGTTTAAGTCCCAGAATCACACACACACAAAATAGAATTAACTGAACTTTGGCTTATTAAAAAAAATGCTGGCTTTCATATTTCTGTAAATGTACTTGGCAGATGCAAAATATTTCTTTAGCTTGTTCAGGAAATGTTTTTTAAAATGGGAGTCAAAGAACTGCTGAGAGGGATCAATAAAAGCACAAGAAGGAGGAAACTCTTAAGAACATCAGCCCTCTTTCTTCCAGGATGGAGATACCACATCTCCTGGCCTCACACCTTCTCTGGCTCCCTCCATGGGCTCTGCTGCATGGTGCTCACATATTGTAGGCCACGTAGATTGGGTCCAGCTGGTCGGCCAGGAAGCCATCCCTCAGGTGCATGCGCTGCTTCTCTCCCCGAGAGTTGATGGGGATCACGCCTGGATCCACAATGACCACCACGCCCACCACTAGGTAGTGCTCCTCCAATACCACATTGGTCACCAGTGCCACCAGATCTAGTGCATCCTGCTCCAGACCATCCAGCTCTACCACCACCACCAGCAGATTGGTCCACGTGAACACAGCACTGCGGGGGAGATAGGTGTCACATGGGCCTGCACAGAGATTGGGCCGTATATTTGGGAAAGGGTGCCAAAAAAAAAAGTGAAAAACTGGCATACATGTTATATTTTTGACTATACCTTGAGAGAGAGTCTTTTCATTCAAAGCTGATTAGGAAAGGGGGGGGGGCAATGAAGGCAATGACACATACTCTGGTGCTGTTTTCTAGAAACATGTCCAGAGGAAGAACCCTCAGAAGCCAGGCCCCTTTTGGAGGCTGGTGATCCTAGCACCTTCAGGGAACAGGACTAGTCTAACATTGAAGTCTAGCTGTGCCAGAGACCACAGTGACCATGCAGGTAGCCTGTCCTCATGGCACGACAGTACCTGACAGTTCTCAGGATCAGAGGAGGGCTGGGGAGACCATGCAGGGCCTACCCTTGGCCTGGGCTCTTACCACTCAGCGATGTTCCTGTGAGCTCGGATCACAGATGTCTCAATGTCGATAGGGTGGTACCTCATGCCTCTCAGCTCAAGTGTCTCGTCCAGAGACCCAACAACATACAGCGCATCATGTCGCTCTATGAACACATGTGCACACATTCAGGGCAGGGCACACAGCCTACACACACCAGTGTCTGTGTACTTGGGGTACATGGGAGGCATGATTTAAACAGTGCAGCGAGGGTTGCCAGAGATGCTTGTAGCCCAGGCTGTCCTGAGCTATGAGCAATGACCTCAGCAAAGGTATAGAATGTGTAAATACATATTTCAAAACCATCTTTATAAAAAAAATCTTTATCTCTAGGAACAACAGTAACCACAGGTGCTACTGAAAGCTCTGAACTGGAAAGGCTGGTATGGGGCCTGCTGTCCTGACACTGGGCACAGCTCTGCACAGGTCAGGGCTGGGCCCCCCTCCTGGCAGAAGAGCTATGCACGGCCTTGCCATGCTGGCAAGGAGCTGGGAGACTGCACTGTTGGGGAAGACACTTCCAGCCTTCTCACCACATTCATACCAAGGCCAAGGGGACAAGACAGTAAGGGGAAGACAAACAGGAGAAAAGTAATTCTCAGAGAAAATTGCTCTTGGAGCACATCCTTCACCCAAATGGAATCATACAGGATCAGCGCATACAGGGATGGCACAGGCAGGTAAGAGGTACTCTCATCCCAGGACACTTGGCTAAGTAAGCCAGACTCCTACAGCAGCAGCACAACCCCAGCTGACAGTGCCGAGGCAGGCACATCACCAGGAGTCCTCACCTCCATTGGCATCTGTGAGCTCTGTTCTTCGAAGGAAACCGAGGTAGCCAGTCCTCGCCCAAACAGTCTGGGTGTCTCCAAAGCTAAGCCGGGCACTGAAGTGGTCAGCATGGAGGGCCTCCTCCCCATAGACGGTGTAGTACCCAGTAGCATTGTGGGGGCTGCTCACCCAGATCTGGTGGGGACCAGAGGACAAGAACTATAAACCACTGAGTATAGATTTTGACATCTGTTGGCCAAGGATAATCTAAAGAAAATGTGAACCCACTGGGGGTGGTTGGGATTGGTACCATCTACTTTGGGAGCTGTCAAAACTATAGGCATTGAAAGCAAACATAACCACTCAAATACACCTTTCCTTCTTTTGTCCTGGGAATATTTGTGTGTCAACACTGATACTGTGTGGATGGATGATGCTGTGTGCAGAGGCGAACCCAGATTTCTCACATTAACCAATGCTGAGAGTGAAGAGAGACCTAGGGCCATGCCAGTGTTCACTGTGGGGACAGGTTATAGGAATGAGGGCCACTTGTGGGGTGAGAACAGCTGCTCAGACTCATGCTGAAACAGCAATGGCCTAAAGGAGATGGAGCCTGTGCACCATGCTGGCCTCTCACACACGCACAGGCCAGAGGAATGCACCCACAGCCCATGGGCACCGTGCTCCCTAGACACAGAAGCATTCAGAACCCAGCCAACAGCCTACCCTTTTCCCAGCCTCACAGCAGCATCTGAGGGGGAAGGGGCAGCCAGTAGAGGCTCCTCCCCAGAGCAACTGCCATGAAGGTGGGTCCCTTAGACTCAGGCTTTCATCTCCTTCATTAAACCTGGGTTCTGCAGGCCAGGAAGTAGGGTGAGGCTGTGACTACACTTGGGACTGCGACAGGGACATCTTCTACCAGGATGCTATCTGCACACCTGGGAGGGCAAGTTCACACCCTGTTTGGTGAGTCAGGCAGGGAGGGATCTACAGTACTCACCAGAAGCCCCTGGGCTAGCCATGAAGGAGATCCAAACTGCTATGCACCCTGGGAGTGAGAATGGCAACCAGAACAACATGCTCCTTGAGTCTCACTCCCACAGAATGCCCAACTGGGGCCTCCTGATGCAGTCTGCACTTCACAAAGTCACAGCGAATACAGTGACAGGCCCAGGGGGTTGCTGTGCTAACAGGTATCAAGCTGAGGGCTATGTCCTGTCCCTACCTGTGACAGGCCTTGACACATCTGACATATCCCAGCCCCTCCCTGACAGGCTGTACCCTGCCCTTGCCAATGAGGGACCTGTCTGTTACGGATCATGGCAGATGCCTGGGCACAAGCACACACACATAGCTGGCACTGTTTCCTTGCAGTCCTGGGCCACCTCTGAGCCCCACGGTTCTCTTCCAGCTTCTCCTGGTCCTTCGCTCCCCACTCGGCACAGGTGCTGCTCCTTATGAAGCAGCTGGGGCGCTCTGCGCAAGGCGGCAGTGTCCTGTGCTGCTTCTGCTGGTTCCTCATAGCTGCTCTGGCCTTCTGACGCCCTCAAAATCTGTACCTCTTGTGGTGTGACCCAGGGACAGAGGGCCTGCTTACCCACAATACCCTGAAACCCTACGCATGAGCTAATCTGGAGCACAAGTGCTTGGGTGACAGCAGAAAAGTTTCTGGGATTCTGAAGGACATAACTGACCTTCTAGGACTTAGAATTGCTGACTCATGAGCAGGAGGAGAAGCAGAGCAAAGCTGACAAGGCTAGAGGGCTCTCATGCCTCCCAGAGAGCCCACACGTTGCCTTGGCTACCACTTACCTCACCCAGGTGTGAGTCTCCAAGGGGACCTTTAGTTTCAGTGTGTGCGATGATGACCTTCACCCCAGGGAGGATCTGGAAGGAGGAGAACTACTAAAGACTCTTGTCAAAGAAAACATGGCACTCTCCTGACTCAGTGCCACTATGTTCCTCAGAAACTGGCTGCCTGAGGGACTTCAGGTGTCACTTCAAATTTGACTTTCAATTTTAAAAGAAATATAAGGCATTAATAGATAGAAATAAATTATAGATGTTAGCAAAAATGACCCTAGTTCCTAAGAATGGGCCCTGTCTTTGTCAAGAGGGGCAGAAGGTCTGGGTGAAGGCTTGTCTACCCGGGGGCTTTGGGTACAGCAGAGGACCCTTTATGTGCACTTGTAGCCCTGTCCCCACAGGAAGCCATGCCTGTGGGATCCACAGAGCCTGCGCTTCACCAAGAACCTGACTGTGGGCCAGTGTTTCCCATGCTTGTTCCCTTCCCCAACCTCCTACACCCAGACCTAGTGACCCCTTCCTTGGCCTGGCCAGTTGCTCTGTCCTCAGTTACCCCACGTATGAAGCAGGAATGGTGATAGTGTAGGTTTCAGAACAGGCAGAAAAGGAGCAAAATTAACAGGAAGTAGGAGTCCATGCTGGCACTAGGCCCTTCCTTGCTCTGCCACACGTGGAAAGCCCTGTCTTCCATGATGCTGCTGGAGCCCCTATCCTCTTCCCTGTGGCCTACCTGGACTGCTAAGCTAAAGCTCAAAACCAGAGCACAGATTGATCAGGCCCAAGCAAAACAGGAGGGGAAAGTGAAAATCCCATGAGAGGCAAAGAAACTGCACTGCAGCCACATTTGGCAGGACAGGAACCGGCACAAGCAGTTCCCAAGGATAAGAACACAGGGACAGAATTGCAGAACTATAAGGAACACAAAACCTAGCTTAGAGAAGGCACTGGCGGCCTCAGTCTCCCCCCAGATGAGCTATCCTCTGCAGGATCCACTGAGAACAACTTTACAGAGGGCTGGAGGTGAACTGTGCAAGACCTTGCCCTTGCTTCCTTGTTTGGCTCCAGCCACGTGGGCCTGGTGGCTGCCACCCACAGCCTTTGCACAGTATTGACCCAAAGCTACTCCACAGCCTGGCAGGGATCCCTGTGCTGATCAGTGATGACTGGCGGGCTCAGCCCTCTCGCCACCAGCCTGTCTGCAAAAGCAGCTATGACCATGGCAGTAAGTGGAGTCAATAGGTTTTGATCCTTGCTCTTGGGGTTGTGAAGATGCAGAGGTGTCCCCCAGGAGTGCCTGAGCCCTCCATGGCATTGGTTGCCATGCTGGGTCCTAGGGCTCCTGGGCATAGCATATATATGTCACCAGCCACTCTACCACCCTTTCTCATGCTGCCTTATTGTCCTTCCCTGGCACCAGGAATGCCAACCCTGCACCTGTGCCTTCTGACCCTTGGCAGCTGCTCAGTTTCCACTTGGGCTCATTAGTCGCACCATCCTCAACTCATCAGCAGCCACTGGGGGCCTCATCAGGCCAGGACCAACACTGACAGCAGGTCTTCTCTCATCTGCAGCCCTGGCGAGGCCTTTTCCTTGCTATCACCCCCATCCAAGGCATGAGTTCCCATCTCTCCCAGTCCGGAGCCAGGGGCACACCTACACTTCTACAGATCAGCATGGGACTTTGACCTACTCTGATTCTGACCTGGGCCAGTTCACCGCTCCCAGGCAACCTGATGGTCACTGCTCTCAGGAAGTCACCATATTGATGTCAAACTTAGTGATCGGCAAAGTGCTCTATAACCCAGAACTCTTGGTCTCAAGCAATCCTCCTATCTCAGCCTCCTGAGTAGCTGGGACTACAGAACTACCACACCTAGCAACATATTCTGTGGTTCTAGAACTGCAGGTGGGAGGTAACCTTTGCTCCAGGCCATGACCATTTATGCCCACTCTGTGAAAGTTCCTTCTCTGTGTGTGTCTGGATTCGCCCTATTGGCTTTGAGTCGAATCTGTGGTGAGAGACTTCACCTCATACTTCCAAGCACTGGCAAGGAAGGAGGAAGAAGATTCTGCAGCTTCCCCTCACACCTGTGCAGAGGTCACTGGGCTCGAGGGGGATGGCGCCCCAGCACCTCCTGCTGTGTGACTTTGAGACAGAGGACAAACATTACAGGGAGTGCAGGTCCCAGGCTTTACTACCTTTCCAGACTCCATCAGTGGCAGACTATGTGGAGAACCCCGTTCAACCAAACGTACCCTAAAAATTAACAAGGGAAACATTTCAGAATATAATTTTCTACACAGATAGGAAGTTCTAAAAATATAAATCAGAAGGTAATTGGAAAGTGATTATCATTCTGCGGGTCAGTGGGTGACCAACAGCCAGGATAATAGCCTTTCATTAAAAAACACACCAGGACCATCTTGAGCAGGACTTCAGGTGGCACAGTGAGGAGGGTCCTGTGATGTGCATACCCAGGCAAGCCCCTACCCACTGGGAAATCGGTTTTTTTCTGGCTTTCCTCAACCTGACCTGGCTGGGCCCTGGCACCTAGTGAGCTGCAACTACTGTTTACATCAAGCCGTGACATGGCCATGTGTGAAGATCTAGATTGGGGACTGAAGTTTCCTGCTGGCAAGTGTCTCAATAGCATGTAACAGCCGAGCCAGAGTACCCCATGGCTCCACAAGATTCCTGACATGAAAGCTATGGCAGACGCTAAAATGCCATCAGGTAAGAAAGTTCTTGCCATTAGCTGTATTGTTTTTCACTCATCCCCGTGAAAGCAAATAACTAGGTTGGTCACTCTTTTCGACTGTAGTGAAAAAGCATAAGGACATTTACTGCAGTGTAAGGACACAAGATAGCAAGGTGGAGCTCCACCCTCTCTGTGGCACATGCCTGAAGGAGTCCAGAGTGTCACCACTCTCACAGTGCCAAGGGCCTTACCCTGGTCAGAATGCTGACCTGGCCAGCCATCCCTAACACAAAAGGTCCTGGCCAAGTGTGGTGGAAAGTCTTGACCCAGAAAACCAGGGTCCTAGAAAGTTCTTACCTGGCCAGCCATTCCTACATGAGGATCCTAGAGGTACCATATACTGTTGGTACAGATCCAACACTCTCCTACTGGATAAGGCCATATAGACTGGGGAGGGATACTACCTGTCATGGCGCAGTGCCCGCATGTCCACGTAGACAGTTGTGGGGTCTGGGCCAGCTGTGCCCTGGAAAGGGAGCAGAAGAAATTCCTCAGGGCCCTCACACCCCTCCTAGCTTTATTGCACTGATGTGGGCAACTCCTCCCAGGTTCAGGGGGTGGGTTCACCTGGGAGGGTAGTGCTGTTCCCTGCAGCCATCTCCTAAGGCTCAGGATCCCTGGGGTTGGGAGTCCTCAGGCAGGGCTGATGCTGTCCCTGTGAACACCCACAGGCTTGGTATCAAGTGGAGTGTTCAATAACATTGAATGGTAACCAATCAAGCCATTTTCATTTCAGTTCTAATGACCTTCTATTTTCACTGGTCTCACTGGGATGAAAACATCATTGTGGCTTGGGGGCATTTCTACCAAGCAGGGCTGGCCTCTTACTAATTCTGTTAGGGATGGAGCCCAGCAAGGACTCTCAGAGGAGACAGAAGGCTAAGTCTCATCTTGACTTCTAAATCTTCCATTTGACGCCAGTTCTGGTTAAAGGACAGTATGTGCCATTTAACTAGATAAGAACATTAGATTAAATGAGTGCTCTTGACCAACAGCACTCCCTGAAGATCCCCACAACATCATCTACGTGCGCCCTGGAATTTAAACAAAATCTTCTGCATGAGCCCTTCCTTCCAAAGTAATGTTATAAACTGTTGTCTTTGAAAACAGTTTTAATTAAAAAAAAAAAAGAAAATAGTTTTAATTTTAAATTTGGTCACAAAGGAAATTTCCAATATGTCAAATGATGTCCACTATGAACAAAAGAAGACAATAAAATAAATATATATTGTCTGAAATTCATGAGGTCACATGAACTCATGGGGCTGGGGCGGAGGTGGGGGGGTTGCACATAGACAAGCACCAGCAAGCTTGAGGGTGGGGTCAAGGTCATACCTGCTCAGCCAGCTTTCCCAGCCTGTTGGGCTGACAGAGGCCAAGGAGGCCAGCAGAGGGAGACAGGGAGGAGACAGCCATAGGAAACACAAACAGAAGGCCACAGGCCCCATGAGAAATGAACGGAAAGAGAGAGCAAAAGACATCACTATATAAGAGCAAACACCAATATCCCATTAGGAGCTGTGCAATCACACATGACACCCGCACACAAGCCAACAAACAGAACAGATGCCCTCCTGCACCGAGCAAGGAGGGCACTGGCTTCCGATGCAGGGCAAGATCTCCACCCAGACTCCAGCCTGTGTGCCAGCCTCGAGGCTCAGAGCAGTCAAAAGCCTTTCAGTGTATGGGAGGACATCAGTGAAAAGAAGATGCCATTGTGACAAATGTGGCCTCTGCTTGGAGACATGCCCTACACATGCTGCCAAGTGAGGCTGGGCATGTGCTGGGCAGATGATGTGGGAACTCAGACAGGGCCACAGCTCTATAGAGGGACAAAAGGGCCATCTTCTTCCTGCTGTTCTCCATGATACATCAAGTAAGGCATCTGATATGTAGATATCTGATAAGCTGTTTGGCTTAGGAAGTTTTTACAAAGATGTGAAATGGACACAGGAATACAAATTCTGAATTGCTAAGGTAGGAGACCTGCAACAGGCATGCCAGTCCCTGAAATTTCCTATTTCCTTTGTGTCTTACTACAGGTTTAAAAACCCATTTGACTCAACACAAATGATCACATTTACCAGTGAACCAATTTAAAATTGTTAGATGTCTTAAAACAGTAATTTCAATCTTGCTTTTAAAAAATTAACTGTATTATTATGACCAATTTAAATATGCTTATGAGTAGAAAAACACTGTTCAAACACATTTGTTTTGTTTTGTTTTTAAATAAGTCTTTCTTCATCAACAGAACATAGCTCTCAAAGTTAAACAACTATGCGGAAACAAAACATCAAATGCTCAGAGATAGAGAAATGGACCAGACAGGTACAAAGCCACACAGAGTCATGAGCGTAAGTAACTGCTGGCCCCTCGCTGAGCTGGCAGGTGCTGCCAGCCCAGGTGCATCACCTTACCTGGAGGCAGATGGCCACATTGACCCTGCATCCGAAGGTGGTGCTCACGGCACGTGCCGGGAGGCCCAGGTCCTTGAACAGCTTGGAGAAGGATTGTGTCAGTGTGATCCGGGGCCGCTCCTCAGCCACCACCATGCATGTGCGCACACACGACAAGTTCACACCCTTCATCTGCAGAGAGGCAGGAGTTGTCCGAGGTCCTGAGCACAGACTATCTTAGGAAATTTCTGTGGGGACCACATGGAGCTTGGCCCAACATCTGAGGGCAAAGGTGAAGCACAAACCTGTGTCCTCCACCTGCCTCACTCAGGCTGAGAAATTCTAAACATGCAAAAGCACTATACCCTCTGGGCAACATCCCACCATCCTGTGTGGCACATACCGCCTTTTCCTTTTTCTGGCAGTGTGCAGCCAGAGGAAGAGACTTCAGCAGAGGCAGATGACCCTAGGAGCTGCCATGGGAAGAGGAGTCTGCACACCTCAGCTCAGAGTCACTGTGGCCCACACCACCTGGCTGGCACTCACCCTGAGGGCACCCGTCTGCGAGCCCAGGCCCTTGGTGCACATCTCCATCACTGAGTAAGAGCAGAAGGTGACTCGGGCCTTGTACTGGCTGACAGCCGATAGCCACAGGGACACATTGCTCTCCAGCTCCAGTGGGGGCACCAGCACCGACTGGTGTCCTGAGTAGACACTGTGGGGCAGAGGGCAGCTGGGAAGGAGGCAGGAGGCACTGCTCTGTCCTTCCTTAAAGTCATCTTTTCTAGCTGGGACAGGGTATAAGTATGCTCTAACACCAGTGGGGTTTGGGAGAATACATGCTGTGGTCAGAGGCCGGGGTGACAGGCAGGTCCGCCTGCCCCTCTGTGCACCAAAGACCAAGGATACCTACAAGGTTTCCTACTACTGGAGGGCTCACCATCTTCTACCATGTGAAGGACACAAGTAGATTCATACCAAGCTAACAATAGATACTGTTTGTATTTAATAAAAAGTGCTTTTACTATTTACTGAACTTCATACCCACAGTCCCACTCCCTTTATCCCCAAACAAGGCCACTGTCCTATCTCTTCAGTTTCCAGGGTGTTAAAAAAAGCCATCTCAGAAGGTGAAAGTTCATGGGGCTGGTGAGATGGCTTAGTGGTCTAAAGCACCTACTTAGAACAAACTTAGCAAAGCAAAGGGACCGCGGTTCAATCCCCCAGCCACCACATGCCAGCCAGCCCCGCCCCCTGGTGGGCTGAGCTGGCCACACACACACACACACACACACACACACA